CGAAATAAATGTAGATTATCTCCTTCTGATGTGGGCAAAAAGTTCACTGCATGATTAAATTTTCTTTTTTTAAAGACATCTTTATTATTCTTTTAAGCCCTAAGTCGGCTATGATAATTTGCACCGGTGCGGACTCAACCCAAGACACTAAAGCCACAGGCACTTATCTAGCCACTACGCTGTCCTGGCTCAAAATAAAACGGTTTTCTTAGCTCACAGTAAACTTTTATCTTAGCTCACAGTAAAGTGTTGTCTTAGTTCACAGTAAAGCGTTATCTTAGTTTAGAGTAAAGTTTTATCTTAGCTCACATTAAAGCGTTATCTTAGCTCACAGTAAAGCGTTATCTTAGCTCACAGTAAAGCGTTATCTTAGTTTAGAGTAAAGTTTTATCTTAGCTCACATTAAAGCATTATCTTAGCTCACAGTAAAGCGTTATCTTAGCTCACAGTAAAGCGTTATCTTAGTTTAGAGTAAAACGTTGTTTTAGCTCACAGTAAAGCGTTTTCCTAGATCACAGTAAAGCGTTATCTTAGCTCACAGTAAAGCGTTGTCTTAGCTCACAGTAAAGCGTTATCTTAGCTCACAGTAAAGCGTTATCTGAGCTCACAGTAATGCTTTATCCTAGTTCACATTAAAGCGTTATCTTAGCTCACAGTAAAGCGTTATCTTAGCTCACAGTAAAGCGTTATCCTAATGGCGAATAATAATAATAATAATAAGAAGAAGAAGTAGAAGAAGAAGAAGAAGAAGAAGAAGAAGAAGAAGAAGAAGAAGAAGAAGAAGAAGAAGAAGAAGAAGAAGAAGAAGAAGAAGAAGAAGAAGAAGAAGAAGAAGAAGAAGAAGAAGAAGAAGAAGAAGAAGAAGAGGAAGAGGAAGAAGAAGAAGAAGAAGAAGAAGAAGAAGAAGAAGAAGAAGAAGAAGAAGAAGAAGAAGAAGAAGAAGAAGAAGAAGAAGAAGAAGAAGAAGAAGAAGAAGAAGAAAAGAAGAAGAAGAAGAAGAAGAAGAAGAAGAAAGAAGAACTAAAAGAGAAAGAAGAAGAACAACAACAAGAACAAGAACAAGAAAAACAAGAACAAGAAAAACAAGATGTTTAAACCTACGGAATGATGAGTCATCAACTGCTGTTGAATGCGTTCCAACTACTGAACTTTCTTCTATGCCCTAGAGCTAAAGAATCAGTTATTGTTCTATTACCTTTTGCACACGCTTACCTTATCTACGCATATTTCGTCAACATTTCCCCACTGAAAATAAACTTGCCATTTCAGTCTTTGCTGATATACGGTTTTCTAAACACGGAATTACCCACCCGAACCTAAATAGAGACATAGATCGTAAACAATCGCACACAAGAAACTCGCTCACGGAGAGTTTATCAAGGTATAGACTTTACACAGAAACTCAATTATACCAAAGCTCTTATATTTGTCACAATCTTAAAGGAAATAACACAAAAATATGCCATTACAGATACATATTAATTTAGAGTTATCAGATTGGCTTCTTGGCTAGCTACGGGGTAATGTTAAAACGTAGTCCAATATTTTTCAAACCAGGGGCAGTGGCCCATTCGTGGGTTGTAGAATTGTCAAAAAGCCGCCAAAACATTTGTTATTTATGTAGGGTAGGTGGTGTTTCTTTTCAGTCTGTCGGATTAATATTTCCAATAGTTTCTATTAGCGTGAAAATACTTTTCCATGCCATTAATACAAAATAAAATCGAAAAATCCAATGAATGTTACTGTAGCGCTTCGTCTATCAAAAACAACGATCCAGGGATATCGTTTTTGTTAAACCTTTGGGTAGCAGTAGAAGCAGCAGGAAATGTCGTGTTAGCTGAATTTTTATTGTGTGGCATCGCATTTCCCAAATCACCTGCTGTCTGCAGTCTTGTTAGACATCTTTGTGTGTGGTTTCGTGTCTAGTTAGCTGTCAGGTGGGTCGCGAAAAAATTTAGCCTTTTGCATGGGCCGCGGGGTAAAACAGTTTGAGAAACACTGAACACCACATGGGCTGACTTTGCTTGAAATAATTAATACAGGAGCAGTGTTAATTTCTTGTCCTCAATAAGGAAACGATTATCTTTCTCTGGAAACCTAAAATGGCTTCAATAAAGGCTTTTTGTTGTTGAACGTGAAGAATAAATTGCTTGTTGTTTTAAACTGTTATCAAAACAGATAGATTAGCTGCTATGATTTTCACCATACATGAAGCTCCCTTTAATGATAATAACACTTTGTAAACGCAGAAATCATGCTTTTATGGAACATAATCTTTAAGAAGAGATAATGTTATATGAGATTTTACATTGAAAGGTCAGTCACTTTTGCTAAGCGAATATATATATATATATATATATATATATATATATATATATATATATATATATATATATATATATATATATATATATATATATATAATGTAAAAAGATTTATGTGTACTTGTTTCAATTTTCTTACACTAAAACCATTGTAAATGTTTAATAAAGCGTGTGTTTTTATTAGGGCTGTACCGAATAGTGATTTTCACTATTCGGCCGAATACGAATAGCTGGACCAGCTATTCGGCCAAATACGAATACGAATAGTGAATTATCATCATCATGTGCTTTGCCGGCTGGCATCGGCGATTATGCCTCGCCACAATCTGCGATCTCCTGCAGCACGTATTAGTTCGTGTGCTGACACACCTCCATGAAAAACCTTCGTTCCATGTTGTCAGCATTAGGCAAGCTTTTTGTCTCACTGAAGGTATTTCCAGCTGTACTAAACAGGAAAATACGACAAATACAGAGAGTCAAAATGAAAACCCGCAAGGCGAATTATCAAAAACTAAAATAACGCCGACGAAGAAAACAATGCCGTCCTTACAAGTCGTCCAGCCCCCCGCGAGCTCACGAAACCAGACGCCGGGCGGCCAACGCCAGAAGATCAAACAACAAAGACAATCAAGAAACCGAACGTCGATCAAAACATTCAGCCGCTGCCGTTTCCACGAGACGACGAAAGAACAGATACGACACCCATAAATGATGACGAACTCCCGTTACTTCAAAGAATCAACGAAGAGGACACTCCACTCAAAGAAATCAAGCCGACAGCACTAGAACACTTGCTTTTCTGCCCCTCTTACATTTTTGAGCGTTGCATTTTGTTTCTACAGCAACACACCTAAAAACACTATACTCGCAACACATGCAAGATGGAAATAAAGGGGCACTTGGTACGCTCGTAGGTGGTGCACAAAGATAACGCTTCACAGTATAAACCAAGGTGGGAAGTCTTGATGTTTTTTTTTTTCCACCAGTCCAGAAACGGTTGTGAGGTAACCACTATTCGTATTCGGCCCGACCGCAATATTCGGCCGAATACCGAATAGTTATTGGGTCCACTGTTTGGCCCCGAAGCGAATACGAAGCGAATATTCGGTACAGCCCTAGTTTTTATTCATTAAATCAGTCAGGTGCTTTCTCCACAGCGAAGGCTGGATCTCCAACAGGCTCTATCTCTTGTCCTGGTTGTACACTCTCTCAGATTGCAATTCACCTTTCTCTTCATGTTGTCCTCCCACTTGTATCGCTGCCTACTTTAATCATTACCAAGACGAGAATTCGAGTTCACTTCGCTTTTTGCGTTGCGGCAGTGCTTCCCTGCCAGTAGATCTCTGTACTAAGCGCTAATGTGGATTCACTGTGTGCTTTGCTTGTTTTCTCAACGTACCAAAGGGCCAGTATTGGCTCTGGCATGTGGCAAACAGTCTTCAGTAATTGAGCTTGACGGGACTATAATTCCAGCAGTCCAGGATTCCGTGAAGCTGTGTGGTTTGGATACTATGGACATTTCAAATGTTTGATATTTATTCTCCTGTCCTACGTTTCCTCGTCTATGTCCATTTGTTTTCCTCAACTAGCATTCTGAAATTTGTGTTGCGAGTAACTTAGACAGAATAGCTAACACAGAAGGGGGGCTGCGTGGGCTCTGGGCATGGTGTCCGCCTTGAGTGCTAGAGGTTCCGGGTTTAATTCCCGGTAAGGGTTGGGAGTTTTTTTTTTTACGTGGACTTGGACTTCTAGTATCCCCCTGGTCTGGTCTTTGGGTACTGAGATTGAATGCCGGTGTGCATTGTTGCGCACGTAGAAAAATTCCTTGGCAGTTGAAAATCGAAAAGATTTGCCTAACGGTGCCACCCGGGCAAAATTTTAGATAAAAATCTACCCAAAATATTTCAGGAGCCTCGCCGGTGCTACAGAGCCTATGCACTGTGCTGAGTTTCTTCGTACTCATACTTGAGTTAGAAAGAGAACATGATGTTTATCCGTTGTTTAAAACCTTCAAAGATGGCCGGGATTATTGAAAAGTAATTAATGTTGTACATGGTAAGCAACTTTAAGCTGTTACTTCTGCTAAGGCTGAGGTCCTGTTACCACCACCACCACCACCACCACCACCACTTGTCTTACAACTACTACTACTACGACAGCTGCTACTACTAATACTACTACTACAACTACAGCTGCGACTGCCGTATAGCTAAAACAACAAAAACTACTGCTGCACATGTTTTTGTTGCTACTGCTGCTGGACAACTAAGCTTAAATACTCTTATTTTGTTGAATGCATAGTAAAGGCAATAGTGGTGAATATTTGTATTTCTCATTTGTATTGATTAGAAGTTCCTAGTGTTAAAAATCATAATCTTTAACACCGAACAGAGGGGAAAAATACTAAACTTTTATCTTTTTATTTGCAGATGAGTCCAACCAAATTCGCATTGAAGGAGACAATCTTTAGTAACAGGAATGGAAACGTCACCTTCGTCTTCCATTTTATCGTCCATATCATGTGAATAGGAATTCAAAGGCCCCTTTAAGTTCAAAATGAAATCAAATGAAAGAACTAAACGCTGTTAGGGAGCTCAGTGACGTTCATGGTTAGCACACCCCTGAAACTATTTTCTAATTTTCATCGGCAACAACGGTCTATAGAGGTCACCCAAGATGGCAACCGGAACTCGTTTGATGCAAGAGATCAGCGACCAATTTTTGAACTGTAAAATCTGCTTTGAAAACTTTCGAGATCCAAAGACTTTGTCGTGTCTGCACACGTTCTGCTGTACATGTTTACAGAACCAATACGACCAAGAGGTTAGCAGCAGAACTACAAGATATGCCATATCTATCTACAACCGGCAGGTTACCTGCCCTTTATGCCGAAAGAAAACTGATTTACCCACCGGCGGGGTTAAGAGACTTCCAGACAACTTTCTGGTCTCCAATTTAACAGAGGTCCTGGCCAAGAGGTAAGAAATTTCAACTCTGGATTGTGAGTAATTTTTTGAAATATTGTTTAGTGATTATTTTCAGTGTCAACTTTACAGAAAACTGACAACTCAATCGTGTATGAGCCAGTGAACACTACACAAACCACACATAAATGCTCTATTTGAAATGTGTAACAAATTATAATCCTAACAATTCAAAGACCACCTCAAAAAATAAATAAGGCATCCGCCAGAGGTGTCAGCATCAACAGTTTGTCACTATAATTGCAATTCACTGTCGATAGAATTAGTAGCCACGACCAACTAGCAGTTACTGCACAAGGCATCGCTCGTTCTTTGGCAACCAGCCACCCGCATATTTGCTTTTTCTCTGTCAAAATTCAATTCACATTATAAACACTACATCCCACAATATCTCATCATAAACACCGCTCAGTCCGACTTTATTTTAAACGTAAGCAAATTTAGACTGAACCGGCTTAAATACGAAGATATTTTGATCGAGCAAGAGAAACACAACCGTCTAAGTGGGAAGACGGTTGATGACATCCACCCCACCCCTACAACCGTTGTCTTTAACTTGCGCTTAATTCCAATAAATCTTCCAAATGAAGGTTGACTGCAATAGATCCCAGACACACTGTATCTGATGCTTTGACTGTACACTCTTTTAGACTGTTGTTCATTTCCTAAAGACGTCCTCCCACTTGTATCGCTTTCTTACTCTTGTTGGCTTGCCTTCAACATTTTCATTAGCAAAGTTTAGAAAAAGAATACATGTGCAGTTTGTAGCGGCTGTCAATCCTCCAGCTGTCCCCCCCCCCCCCCCCCCTAATGTCAGATGCAATCCATTTGAAAATAAGTGTCTGGGGAGAACATTAAAATAAAATGGGAAGAATTTAAAGAGAGGGAGAAAAATGAAGAGAGAGAGAGAGAGAGAGGGGGGGGGGGAGAAAAAGAGAGAGAGAAAGAGCGAGAAAGAGAGATAAGAAAAATGTCAGGACAAATAGCTGTATCGACTGCAGTAAGACAAAGAAGGTGGAGATATAAGGCACACCCCGAGATGAAGTGAGCAAAGAATTACAAAACAAGCACGGAAATGGGAAACAAACGGTCTGAAAACAAGAGGGCGTCCAATTGAAACATTAGGAAGAACATTATAACGAGAGGCTAACAATGCAGGACTGAACTTCATGTGAGCAATTGAGAAAGTTGCATGTAGTAGAGTAGAGTGGAGTGATCGTACTATGTGACGTCTCTTGGTACACAACCTATGATGATAACGATGATGATGACGATAATGCTGATTCCATTAAAGGTAGAAGCCGTTGTGTATTGGCTAGACTCTCGTCAGCGGATCCGAAGATAGTCCAACTTAAGAATCAAAGTGGAGACGGTCACTGCAACTTGACACTGGCTAGAGAATACGACACACACACACACACACACACACACACACACGCACACATGCACACACATCAAGATTGTAACTGACTCAGAAAGCATGCCGAGGAAGGCCAAGACAGGTACGCTTCGTGCAGAGTGGCAAGCTTCGCTGTGGAGATCACATGTGAGGAGCATTTTGGGTTGGGTCTACACGTGAACCAAAGCACAGTTTGAAAGATACACCAACATTTAAAATAAAAATAAAAAAACAATCAAGACTAGATGCGAAGTTCAATTGTTGGCCTGCGGTCAAGAGGCGAATGCTTGCCATTATACTTACTACCATTTGTTTCCCTATGCATTGCCTGTTGTGTAATTCTCTACCCATTTCTACTCTTAGTATGCCCATTATTTGTTATAACAGATAATACAAGCAGTTGTCCGGGCATTTTTATTTATACAACTTGCACTGGTGAATGTTAACATTGAAAAAACTTTAGATTGAAATTTTTTTTTATACTGCTGTGGCTCACACTTTTATTGTACAAAACCAAATAACACATACCTGAATATACCACCATCTCCAGGACCGTCTCGAAAATCCCGCCTTGTGAGATCTGCTCCACGGTCCGAGGTAAGAACATCGACGCCTGCAGCAAGTGTCTGGACTGCAGCAAGATAATCTGCCGGACCTGCGTGGACTTGCACCTGTCTACGAAGGTAACACAGCAGCACAGCCTTATTGATCTTGAAGGGGAAAAGGACATTCAGTGCAAGGTGAGAGATAGCATCTTCTTTGTTTAAAGATATATTTGCCCGGCTCGCTAGCGTAGTTGGCTAAATCGGACTACGCGGTGACCGGGTGAAGAACTCCTTGCGGTCCGGGTTCACGCCCGGGGGGTGGGCAGAAAAGCCACATTTTCTCCCAGATTTACGGTAATTATCATGGAATCAAGGCCGAAGGGTTGCGATATCCATAATACCGAGCCTAAGGGCCAACAACTCATGGCTTTTGGATACTAAAAAAAAACTAAGTAAAAGGTAAAAGACCTTTTCCCACGCCTTCAGGCACACTGGATATAGAGGGCTAGACCTGTATTTTATAGACCAACCGGCACATGAGGGGTGATGTGGTCAGCATCACACCTGCCGCCTTTACTACCCAGGCCTGTACCTGGTACTCATTCAAAGCTGGGTCGACCTGAGAGCCAATGTCATGTCCGCCCCGCACAAATATATAGATTGGTAAATTTACATCTGTCAGATCTGGATAAGTTTAGCAGTTATTACCCCAGAAGATCTACCCTGACAATAAATTCGCCATTATGTTGAATGTGTCGCCCGTAAGTCGCCATTTGTGTTGAATATGTCACCCGAATGTCTGTATGATGCTGAATGTGTCGCCTGAAAGTCTGTATGAAGCTAAATGTGTCGTCCGAAAGTCTGTATGATGCTGAATGTGTCGCCTGAAAAAAGATGTAATGTCCAGACAGACCTGCAAACACTTAGTGTTAGCAACAGAAGGCCAACCAGAGAGATGTATGGAGGCGGGTGATATCTGCAGCATTGATCATCAAGGGCTCGGAATGCTGAAGAAGAGGAAGAAATAAAGTCCGTCAGGACCTGATCAACGACACTGGCGAGTTCCTCCCTCAGCACCAAAGCGGCTCGCCAAGGAGGGGGAAAATAAACACAACAAAATGTTTTAAAATTGCTTCTACTTTCATAGATCCGTTTCTGTTACACGTCCGTTACTAACTTTGAACATATCACACTCATCGTATGATAGACATAGCAAATGAGACCCCCTTTGGGGGTGGTGGGGGGGGGGGGGGGGGCGGGTGCCTAGTTGACCATGTTCTTAGTGCACTTGTTTTCATTGCGAGGCGCACACGACGTCTTAAGGTGACAGGTTCAATTCCGACACAGGAACTTTATCTTTTAATTTTTATGTTGTCTAGTGTGTTTTTCTATCTTTCTTCTTCTTTCTATTAGTGCAAATCAATACATTTTCTGTAACTTTATCAATATATCCACTCATTCAGGCACATCCCGATGAGTCTGTGCGGTTTTACTGTGAGCCCTGTGATGCCTGCATCTGTGTGGTCTGCACCTTCCAAGAACACAAGGACCATGAGGTGTGCTCTTTCAGCGACGGCTCGGCCAAGTCCAGAACCAGCTTAGAGTCGCTGGTGGGTCGGTGCAAGGAACGTCTTGTGGACGTCAGCTCCAGGTTAAACGTCATTGAGAAATACGAGACCTGTGTCAAAGACGTGAAGGATAGAATACGAGATTTAGCTATTAATTATATTTCCCAGGTGAGATCAGCATCATCAACGTCGTCATCACCGTTATCGTCATCACCACGACCATCATCATCACCGTTATCGTTCATCACCACCACCATCATCATCACCGTTATCATTATCACCACCACCATCATCATCACCGTTATCATTATCACCACCACCATCATCATCAGCGTTATCATTATCACCACCACCATCATCATCACCGTTATCGTCACCACCACCACCATCATCATCAGCGTTATCATTATCATCTCTACCATCATCATCAGCGTTATCATCACCACCACCACCATCATCATCAGCGTTATCATTATCATATCTACCATCATCATCAGCGTTATCGTCATCAACACCACCATCATCATCACCGTTCAGCATCACCATCCACATCATTATTATCACCGTTATCAGCACCATCCTACCATCATCATTTCTATATCATCAACACCACATTCATCATATCATCACCACCACCACCATCTTCATCATCGTTTCATTATCATCCACCATCACACCAGCTTTCATCATGTTCACACCACCACCATCATCACCACTTTCATCATGTTCACCACCATCATCATCAGCGTTATCATCATCACCATCAATATCATCATCAGCGTCATCATCATCATTATTATCATCATAATCAGCACCATCACCAACATTTTTCTAAACACCACTACCACATTAATTATAATCTTCATCATCGTTATCACCACTAACACCACTTTCATCATGTTCACAACCACCAACACCACCACTGCCGTCTTCAGTATTTTTATTGTCCATCACTAAAACTACCACCACCACAAATCATCATCATCATCATCGACATTTTCACCACAACCACCAACATCACCATCATCATTACTGTTATCATCAACCTCACTACCACCACCATGTTTGCAACCATCAAATCCACCCCTACCATTATTATTGTGCTCGTTTTCAACCACCATCTAAATCTACCACCACAACCATTAGCAGCATCATCGGCATCATTTTTACTCCTATCACCACGACCACCCTCATCATCACCACTGTCACCACCACCATTTCACCACCAACATGACACAAACGTATACATCATCATCATCACCATCATCATCATCACCATCATCATCATCATCATAATCATCATCATCATGTATGCGTATCATTTTGTCAGAATTTTGCTAAAGAATTCTTCAAGCATCGGAAATTAAGCATCTTCATGCCTTGAGCACTTCGATGACCCGTGTCCACCATGGCTACCGCTATATAGAAATCAGTAAGGGGAAGGGAAGGGGGGTGGGGGTAATAATTACCTAATCAAATACTTAGAGGTGCATCCCTAATAACGGACTTTGTACACGTGACAAGATCATGAAACAGAGAGAAGCAGAAGGGGATGAGCAAGAAAATGACGATGAATTTTAAAATTCTAAAAAAAAAAAAAAAAAACGTTAAAGAAGAAAACGATTAACAATTACAATAATGAGTATTCGCTTCATTTTGTTGAATTTTCTGCATTAACGAGTCAATTTGTATGTATGCATGTATGAATGTATGTCTGTATGTCTGTCTGTCTGTCTGTCTGTCTGTCTGTCTGTCTGTCTGTCTGTCTGTCTGTCTGTCTGTCTGTCTGTCTGTCTGTCTGTCTGTCTGTCTGTCTGTCTGTCTGTCTGTCTGTCTGTCTGTCTGTCTGTCTGTCTGTCTGTCTGTCTGTCTGTCTGTCTGTCTGTCTGTGTCTGTCTGTCTGTCTGTATGTCTGTCTGTATGTATGTATGTATGTCTGTATGTATGTCTGTATGTCTGTATGTATGTCTGTCTGTCTGTATGTCTGTCTGTCTGTCTGTCTGTCTGTGTGTATGTATGTATGTATGTATGTATGTATGTATGTATGTATGTATGTATGTATGTATGTATGTATGTATGTATGTATGTATGTATGTATGTATGTATGTATGTATGTATGTATGTATGTATGTATGTATGTATGTATGTATGTATGTATGTATGTATGTGTATATATGTATGTGTGTGTGTATATGTATATATATGTATATATATATTTATATAGTGGTGCTTTGACTTACGAATCGCTCTAGATGCGAACTTCTTGAGATACGAACATCTTTCATATCCCATTTTGCCCTCTGCATACGAACCTAGACTGTTTCTCGGAATGATATAAAAGCGAAACTGACAGCGTAAATACAATCAAGATACCACAGCACCTTCCCAGTTAAAGAGAAGATAAATAAATACACTAAAATCACTTTATATGGTAATTGTAATAAAATACGTAACGAAAATTGTATTCATTCATAGCATGTCAAAGCGTACGTCTGAGAAAATTTAATTTTTTTTTTTAAGGTGCGTGCCAAGGAGAAAGAACTGATGAAACGAATAGAGGAAGAGTACGGAGGGGAAATAAAGGAGTTTGTCGACCATAAACAAACTCTACAGGAAAACATGGACGAACTACAAAGCGCCTGCAATCTAACCGACATCATGCTGAAGGACAAAAGCGTTGAACTCCTACTCATTAAGAAGGACATCGAGAGTAAGATGACCCAACTTTTGCAGCCAATTTTACCAGACCCACCTTCTGACCCCAAATACGACGTTAGGTTTGTCCCTGGCAATGTTGTTTTGGGTCGTCTTTCGTTTGGGGAAGATCCTCAAAGTTTGGATAACACTAGCGACAAAGAGGACTTGATGATGATGACGTCAAAGCTGGGTTATGACAGATGTATGCCCCAAACTAATGACCCGGATGTTATTAATGATACGACACTGACCGAGAAAGGCGGGACAAAAGAGATGTCAACTTCAATGTTGTCGGATATGAGAGGCGGGATCACTCATACAAATTCACAAACTGAAGCTGCTTCTCTCATTTCGCGTGATACTTCCACCAACCTCGTTGAGACCAGGGAAAGAGGCGTTTTTGCAATGGCGAATGATATGAAAGCTAGAGGAACAATGACTGACAGATCAGACGTAAGGTCTCTTAAATGCCAAACGGAAATACCAAATTCTGATAAGTCATCGAGCGAAGTAGCAGGACATTCTGCAGAGCAAAGCAATCGATCAGAGACTACAAGTACTATTTCATGGATTACAAGTTCTGCCTCAGCAACATCTCCATCGCCAACCTCGTATTCAGATGCTTCTGCAACAGGCAGAGGTCATCGAGAAGCAGCAGCTATAGCAGCACTAACAAAAAGAACAGAGTCAACTACAGCTGAGCTTCATCAGTCATCATCAGTAGGTGACTGCCGACCTGCTCCAGATCTTCTGCCTACATCAGCGGCACTTGGTGCATATGTGTATAGTCCCAGTCGCAGGATACGAAGTATTAAGATACAAACTGAAATATCGGCGTTAGATGTGGAAGCTGTAGCCAGCTCTGCAGATACGGACTTTGTGAAAAACATTGTACAAAGTCAGATATTCGCAGAGAAGCTTAGACAAGAGAAGGAGAAAGCTGCTTCGCGTTTTCTTTATAGGGATCGACCAAGACGAGTTCGGACAACAAATACAGAAGCAGCCACAGTTTCTAATGAATCTGTAGCGTCTGAGAAGGCTGGAACATCCTCTGAACGTCGTCAGTCACAAACTGAAAGTGTTCAAAAGGCTTGTACATTGACCAGCACAGACACCCAAACAGACTTAATCGAGCACGATGACTCCAGTACAGGCACCAACAATGAAAGCCTCATAGTTAAAACTACATCGACCCAGTCAATTGTTATGGACGACAAGGAAACGTGCACTCCAATAACTAAGTTTGAAAGTAAAATCACATGGACTGACATGTTGTCCACTTCTGAAAGAGCCACTTCGACAGTAACTACAGAGTCATTCAACCGTTCCACAGGTACAATCCCGGTGAAGACTGGTGACGCTGGAGTTCAGATAAAACCTTATGCGAAAACAATAGCCACCAACACTACGCTGATCACATCCTCAGAGCAAGACTCGCAAACCAGCGCTGAAACAACAGAACAGGGAACAATGCCGGACTTAGATATCCAGCTGCAGTATGAGAGAATAGAAAAAGAGCTTGGTAAAGAGCGTGAGGTCTTAGAGACCTCCGTAGATTTTATAACTCCGCCACAATCGCCTGCAAAACCATCAGTTACCACAGTAGATAGGGCGACAGATCCTATCAAGACGCCATGTTTTACGAAGGCAACGGAAACTGTCAGAATCAAAACAGTGACTTCGTCGACAGAGACTCCAGTAAAAAAGTATGTTGAAAAAGATACTGCTACCTCTGAAATTAAATTCATCGACCAGTGGACAGAAACGCCAGTTCCACAGCTTATCAGTACTGGGGTAACTCCTCCCATTCCTGCCACCATAGATGTAGGCGTGGCTACCAATGTCGTTCTGACAGATGAACAGGCCACAAGTACGGACGTGAAAGCCTACAGGGATTCCCACACAGAAACGGTAGTTGTTCTATGTGATAATGAAACACTAACAGAAGTTATAAAATACATTGATGCCCAAACTGGCGTGGACATTTCCACAGACAATCAGGAATGCGAAACAGACAAGCTGGACAATACAGACGAAAGCTGTATGACTGACAACTGCAACTCAAGTGAAACAGTAAAGGGTGAATCTCAGTCTACTCAGTGCGAAACACTGACCAGGAATAGTAGAGCATCTAGAACAAGAAGGAGAGCACAGGAAGTACAAACGACACTCACTTCAACAATTTGCGAAACCTGCGGACACACCAATGACGAAAACGGACAGTGTACCGCCCTAGAGACTGCCAATTCTACATCACCTGAGATCAGATCCGTTGAAGAACTTCGAAGCATTTTGGCAAAGGAGTTCAAGGACAGTTCCACAATGCCATGTTTTTCGGACACACAGGACGTGGGTACCATGGCGATCTCTTGCGTCACATGCCTCCATGATTTTCAAGAGACGGCAATACAGACCACTCAGCCCATCCTCTACGATAAGTCTTCAGCTACGTCCTTTGAAACAGACCTGGATTTTTTAGAGCGTACACTCAGCAGGGACTACCATGTAAGTAATCATACCTTCACCACTATCACTTTTATCACTACATCACTTTCATAATCAGCATCGTCATTATCACCATCAACTCTACCACCGTATCATCATCATTACCACCATTATTATCACCATCACCATCATCGTAGGTTTTCACAGCGTAAAGGATGATTATCATAATTTTCGTTTATCGTCTATACAGAAATGTTCACCATTACCACCAGAAAGGCATCTTTATTAAGAGCGATCATGCAATAAAAGTGTGATCAACAGCGCATTAATAGCCGCATCATCTGAAGTTTAAAGGTTTGAACAACGGATCAACATCTTAGCACGGGTAGTAACCTAAGTGCTTCGTTTTTCCTCTAACTCAAATCTGAGTTTGAAGAAGCTCAGCACAGTGCACAGGCTCTGTAGCACCGACGAGGATCCTGAAATACTTTCGGTAGATTTTTGACTGAAAATTTTGCCCGGGCAGCGTCGTTAGGCTACTCTTTTCGATATCCAACTGCCTATAGATTTGTTCACGTGCCCAACAATGCACACGGGCGTACGATCTCACTACCCAGAGACCAGGGGGAATTACTAGAAGTCCAAGTGCACGTGAAAAAAATCTTAGCCCTTACTGAGGGATTAAACACGGAACCTCTAGCACTCAAGGCGAACACTTTACATTCAGACATCGCAGGCGCCCCCCCCCCCCCCCTTTTTTTTTTCAACATTAACATAAGATGGCCAGAAGAGCTTAGACTGTACACAATCATGCATTGATACGAATATTTGACGTACAGTGTAACGAGCTTGAGTTGTGAATCTCATGTGCTGCTAAAACAATATCAGGATCATCATCAGGTGCTTTGCCGACTGGCGTGGGCGATTATGCCTCTCCACAATCTGCGAAATCCTGCAGCATGTTTCAGTTCGTGTGCCGACACACCTCCATGCCATGCAACAAAACTGTCAAGAATCTTCCCTTTTTGTCTTACTCTACCCCTCCTTCCACAGATCTTTCCAGTGGTCACATGTTCTGTTTTCGCTCTTCTCATAACATGGCCGAAAAATGATGACTGTCTCCTTCTGATGTCTGTGATAAGTTGTTTTCGGGATGTATGTAGCAAGCTATAATTATTTTTCTAACTCTCAATGACAAAGATATATTGCATAAGTTGTTCTTCATTGTATAAAATGCAGTTGTTGCCTGTCCTATATATACCCTCTTTTTATGTTTTTGTACTTTTCTAGGACGCAGCAACGTCCACAGAATCCTTGCCGTACATTGGTCTGCTGAGTGAGATAGACGTGGACGAACTCATCGTGGTCCCTGGGGCAGCTTTTGAGCTAGTTTCCGACACCGATTCAGAGTACGACCGGATCATGGTTGATGACGAGACTTCGACCGATTTTCTGCAGTCGGTTGAAGTTGGCACACAAACATTTGTTCCCCTCGGCGATGGAGCTGCTGTCATGGATTTCAGCGCCTCGTCTTTGACAGAAAGCACTAACAGCAAATCTATAGGAGAGGTAATCAAATCGATGGTTCAGAGCCACGGTTTCAACCCCGATAATATACCCGAGGAATCTCTTTCAAAGCACGTTGTCAGCATTGGAATTAACACAATACCAAAACTAACATTTGAGAAGGAGACATGTACCCCAATAAGGCACTTGTTTAGCAAAGGCACAATGACGTTCTATGTATCCAAAATGGATAAATCTACAAGCACTCTAAACCAGGCTCGAATTATGACAGGGTCAGGGTTGACGAAAACTAAATCAGCAGACAAGATCACCATGACATCAAGGGCTGAGAAGAAAGACATCGGCGTTGAGACAGAAACAGCAGCAATGGATGGGAGAATAACCAAATGTATAACAAAACTACGCAGTGTGTCTGAGAAACTGAACAGTCCTCCAGCGAAGAAAGGTATAGATAATGAGACGTTCTTTGGAACCAAGTTTTTCTCCATTAAAAGTTGCACCAGTAGCTTGTGATAAGTTAGGCTCCACAAATGGTGCATGCGCTCTTGAAAATCCTGAAGAGGAACGACAACGGCAGCTGAAAACACTGTTAGAGCAAACAAATGCTTTGCTTAAATGCAAAGATCGATCCCCAAATCGCAAACCGCAGCCTATAACTACGCTAAAAGGCAGGATGCCTGCTACAGTGGACAACAATGGCACTACATCATACCACACTTTAAAACCAGAAAGCAGGTATGATAGTAAAAGTTTGCCTCGAGGGTTTCCTTCAGACCGACCAGGAACTGTTAGAATGGGGAGTCAGCCTTTATCTCCCAGTCGTCTTCCTTTACTAAGATACAACTCGGCACCAGGGAGAATTGCGACCGTTCCAACCCAGACTTTGTTGATAAAATCAGGTCAGATCACACCTGCTGTAAGTCCGTCAGCTTCTCCAAGAATGTCACCAAGTAAGATTCCTGTGTCGAAGAAGCCTAGCCCGCCGGAATTTCAGGCTAGATTATCTCAGCAAATACAGCAGCAGCAACAGCAGCAGCAACAACCACAACAATCAATAGACAGTCTAACCAAAGAACCACTATCGGCGATACCTCCACTGAGACGACCACTGCCTAGTATAACCGAGACCAGAACGCCATCCTCTTGCTCGGATTCTTCAACTGCGTCTTACATGTCAGCAGAATCCAATGCTTCTGTTGGTCAGGCCACTAACAGATTATCCAAAGATGCCACAGCTGCATCTATAGTCCTAAATAAATCAGCTATTGAATCCGTGCCTCTAGATTCATCTGCTAAAGAACCACCTGGAGACATCAATACAGGACTGGCAGCAGCATTCGGCCTCATCGCCGTTACGCCAACAGCGGCACCATCGCGATCGTCATCAACAAGCCTCACTTTGTCTGTAACTTCAGCTTCTATGAGTGACAGCGTCTTCAAAAAATCGTCCTCAGATATAAGCAATAATGCTGATTCTAGCGACACCCTAGAAGACAAGCCTCTAACAGAGGACAAGGCAGCGCCTACGCCCCCAAAGAAAAGCAGCATGGGCTTCATGCAAAGATTGTTGTCAAGAAAGAAGAAAGCCCCAGAAGCTAAGAAAGAACCCGTTTCTGTAATCAAATCTGGACCGCCAACTGCAGCAGCCGTTGCTGCCCTAGCTTCTGCGGCGCCACCCATGCCAGCTCCTCCACCAGAATCCTATGCTCATACTCCTCTGCAGCTACCTCCTCCTCATCACTACCCTCCTCTCCCAGAGCACAGTTCTCCTGCACTGCCACGGAAGCCACGGCCGTTTGTCTACGTTCAACAACGGATAGTCCCCATCCAGCAAGACAACGTCGAGGAGATGACAGACAAAAAAATGAAACCGGACGACCAAAAGCTAGAGGAAGGGAAAGAGGAACACGATTCTGGAAAAGACAAGCGAAAGGAGAAAGAGAAACCACCTGAAAAACAGAAAGATAAATCAAAGAAAGACTCTCAGGCAGAGAAAGAAAAGAAGAAAAAAGAAGAGAAAGAAAAAGTCAAAATCAAAGAGGCTAAAACGAAGACCAAGAAAGCAGATGATAAAACTAATTCTCCTGTGTCGTCTAAAAAATTGGCTGGGGCGGACCGAGGAGACAAAAAATGAACGGAAAAGCGCGCATACCTTTATTGGCCTCGTTTGTTTGCGCTGTGTTATTTTGAAAGTGAAACTAATGTATTACTGGCATCAAGAAAGCTAATAGACTTCAGTTGTAAGGCGGAAAAAAAAAAAAAGATAAAAAAGAAATAAATACTGCGTGCACACATGTGCTACCTGCCAGTTGACTACCTGGCAGACAAAGAAGATGGTGCAAAGATAACACACAAACAGGTCTACTAAACATGGAGTAATTTACCGGAAAGAGAATCCAACCACATAGGTGAAAAGAGGCTTGGAATATAGAATCTGTAGGTAAAAGAAAAGAAAAAGAAGAAGAAGAAGAAGAAGAAGAAGAAGAAGAAGAAGAAGAAGAAGAAGAAGAAGAAGAAGAAGAAGAGGAAGAAGAAGAAGAAGAAGAAGAAGAAGAAGAAGAAGAAGAGAAGAAAAAGAAAAAGAAGAAGAAGATGAAGAAGAGGTAGAAGAAGAAGAAGTAGTAGAAGAAGAAGTAGAAGAAGAAGACGACGAAGAAGAAGAAGAAGAAGAAGAAGAAGAAGAAGAAGAAGAAGAAGAAGAAGAAGAAGAAGAAGAAGAAGAAGAAGAAGAAGAAGAAGAAGAAGAAGAAGAAGAAGAAGAAAAGAAAAAAGCAGAAAAAGAAGAAGAAAAAGAAAAAGAAGAAGAAGAAGAAGAAGAGAAGAAGAAAAGTGAGAAGAAGAAGCAGAAGAGAGCCAAGAAGGACAATATATAACATTAATAATATGTTCCTTAATTGAACAATGTATCATTTGCTCCTAACAGCCGACCAAGTGATGTTTCGCACTTCGAGAATATGTTACCAAAGTTTAGTTTGTTTAAATGTAGTTGAATGCCATATAACCAATATTTATATATCACCTATTCAACCTTATCATCACCATCAAGTGCCTTTTCGACTGGTGTTGGCGTCATGTTTCATCAGATCTAATAATTTTTAACTGTAAATCATTTCTTGTTTTGAAAGATTACTGTGCCATGAAAAAAGGCTGTCCTTAATATTCTTCCATTATCTCCTTACATCACTATTGCCATGCAACTGTTCAGACTTCTGATCGTACACAGATGTATTTCTTGTTGAACAACGTGTGCACGCTAGAACAATCAAACATTTTAACCAGAGCTTTTCTGATTAAAAATTACAATAACAAAGGAGACATTATCTTAGGCAATTAGTCCCCACGCAAAGAACAAAAAATGTGAAAAACCATAACAATGGGAAGAGGAAAACGTGATTGTGCGCTACAAGACAAGAGGCTGACCAAGAAAATATATGTAGAGGGAGTAATAGAGTCACTGAAGAAACGCAATATGACGACATTAACACAAGCTACAAAACTAGCACAAGACAGGAAACAACATCTAAACACTCCGCGACACTTCATGGCATACAGCAGTAGGAGAAAATGAGAAGAAGCTACTGAATGTGCCAAACTAAAACAAGAATGAGCTATTAAAAGAGAAACTGTTATCAAAACCGCTGGTAATGGTTTGTTTTCAGCAGCAAGATCACAAGATAATAGTAATGCTAGGCCCAACTGTGTATTTTCCACAATTTTCGAGACAATTCAGACTGATAAGGTACGTGCGAGTGTTTCTGTGCACTCTGTTTTACCTGAAATGTTGTAGTGAGCTTGCGACGTTTCGTCTTTGATGAACACACTTGTAGAGCAATCGCTGCGTAGGGTTGTGGTAGCTCACAGCTTCAAGGATGCTGACACAGTGAGGCTCAGGGACCCCACACCCCCCCCCCTCCCCACCTTTCCACTCTTCCACAACACCCTGAAAGAACTTGAATTAGCTCCCCGCCCCCTACCCCAACCTCCATTTTTGTTTCTAGATAGGATAGGAATAAACTCACTGGGAGCAAGTACAGCGGGGATCTACAGTCATCAGTAGAAATTATCCTCTTTCGACACACGTTTCGGCCCACGATTCCTAAACGTATTCGGAGGTGGGCCCACCTGAGTTCATGAAGCTCAGGGCTGCTTCCCCGCTGCACGGAATTACCGGATGGTGTTACACTTTCGGCCAGAGACAAGACGACTTAGTGGTTTCGAAGGAGGTACTGTGAGATAAGAAGCCGCCACGGCAGCGTAATTAGAACAGTCCGCATGCCTGGACGACCGAGCGACAAGCTTACTTTGGTTTACCGGACACATGTTGGACTTTTATTAGCAGTTGGCAGAGGGACACTGGCAGACAATTCGTACACGATGGACTTTCAAAAGGATGAGAAACTCCTTTCCGCTAGACACCCGGACCAGCTCACCGAGGCCCGTCCCCTACGTTGTTGCGCTGCGTCCACAGCCAGCTAGAGGCAATTTCGGCCACCTCTCCCAGTTTTTTAAGTGCCCGTTTCCGTTCATTACCGCGCAATCCTAGTTCTTTTACCACATTGTAGAGCGAAGTGGAGACAAGGCCTCTCGCTCCCACTTCGACGGCAAATACCCGTACTGTGTAAGCTTCGTTTCTCCTCAAACCGGCTGCTAAATCACTGTACTTCTCGAGCTTGTACAAATGATTCTCCTCCATCCGCGACTCAAACGGGACAGTCAACTCAATCAAAATGAGCTGCCGTTTTTGCGCAGAATGGAGAACGATGTCCGGTCGCAGGCAGGTTTTACGGATCAACTCGGGATACCGTTCATGGCCTGGCAGATCAACCGCCAGTAACCAGTCCCTCGCAGAGTCTAGCACAGATGGAGCGAATGCGTTTTGGTTGACCTTACCTTTTGGAACCTGCCCAGCCTTGAGGAAACGTATGGGGGCGATACTAGAACTGGCTCTGGCATTAGCCCTCATTCTAGCCTGGTCGACAACGGCTGCTAACTCCTTTAGCACCTTGTTGTGGCGCCAGGTATATCGGCCTTGACCTAGAGCTTTCCTGCACGCGGACAGGACGTGCTCAAGAGTTTGCTTTGATTTGCACAACGGGCAAGTCGGATCGTTGGTCGCAGACCATTTAACCATGTTAACACCGGACGGTAATACATCGTACGCCGAACGAACGATAAAGCTCAGTCGCAGCGGGGTCATCCGCCAGATCTCACCCCATGTGAGTATTCTCGGCAATGCGCTCTCCAGGCTGACCCAATGGCCCTGCTGCGACTGTTGGGCTGCTTTCTGGACCCGAACCTCGTTTTCGTTGTCCCTCACCGTTTGTATCACCATGTCTCGGCGTTCTTTGGCTGAGGCCTTTGACCACCAATTGACCTTCCCGTGCCCCAGGCCTCGGCGGTCGGTTTGTGTGTAACCCATAATCTCCTTCAATTTTAGTGCGTTCTGAGCAGATTCAACCGCATCGAGGACTTTCCACTTGGTTCCAGTCTTTAGAGCGGGCTGGACAGCGGTGACATTTGGGTCTGAAGACTCGCGCAAGAGCATGGCGAGCCTTACTTTGCCGACTTTAAACTCTTCTGTTATCGACTTGAACGGAAGTACCAGCTTAGCCTGTTTGCAATACAGAGCCACGTCGGTCAGACAAGGCGGTGCTCCAATCCACTTTCTTAAGGCTGTGTTGATTTTTTTCTCCATGGCTTCAACTGCAGTCATCGTCACCTCGTAGACTAGCAGTGGCCATAGGAGCTTCGGAATCAACATGAATTGGAGACACCATACCTTGAATTTCCCGACCAGCCTGCATCGCTCGATCGCGAGCAGGCCTGTAGCCAGTGACTCATGTATTCGCCGGACTTCCGCTCTGTCGGATAACTTCGAATCGTAAACGCGACCGAGACTCTTCACCGGTTCCTCCAGAACCGTAGGGATCTTGTTCCTTGCCACCGTAAAACTGATTGCCGAAACCTTGCCCTTATGGATTGACAGACTCCTCGACTTCTGCGGTTTAAACTGCATACCGCTCCATTTGACCACCGCGTCCAAACTTTCCAGGATCGTGCGGGCAGACTCCTCGCTGCCCGTTATAATAGTCGTGTCATCCATAAATGCGCGCAGTGGCGGCAACCAGTGATCCCCTATTTGAAGGCCCAGTCCGTAGCCGGCCGCCCCGTCTAACACGATCTGCATTGCCATGACAAACAGTATAGGTGAGATCGTACAGCCCATAGCTATCCCAATCTGCAACTCAGTCCACCTCGTGGTAAACGTCGAGGTAGAGAAGCGCAAAATCGGTTCTCTCATGCTTGGCTCTCTGGATAGCCTCCCAAATCATGGTCGCGTGTTCAAGGCACCCAGGAACGCCTGGGATACCACCCTTCTGAACACTCGTATCTATGTACTTATTAGTCATCAGATACTGTGTGAGCCGGCGAGCCATGACTGAGAAGAATATCTTACCCTCGACATTCAACAGCGAGATGGGCCTGAATTGGGAAAGACTCTTCGAGTCCTGCTCTTTGGGAATGTAGACCCCATTTGCCTTTGACCACTCTGGACATATGTGATTGCGGATCCACGCTTGTCTCAACAAGACGTGAAGCATTTTAAGGATTTTCGGGCAACGCTTGTAAAGAACGTACGGGACACCGTTCGGACCTGGGGCAGACTTGCCGCTGGCTTTTTTCACAACGTCCTCAACCTCAGACCAAAGGGGAGGTACCATTTTAAATGGTACCTTCGGCACCGAAGGCTGTTTGAGTCCGCTAAGGATCTCTGGATTGTCATCGAGAGGCTCTCTCCTCTTTTTATCCGAGTACATCTTGCGTAGATGTAGCTCTAGTTCTTCCTGACTGACAACCAGAGTCCCAGACTTCGGTTGCTCGAATAGACCTCGGGCAAACTGATACGGGTCCCTAAAGAATTTCTCTCGCTCCCTTTTGGTTCTCCGTCTGTTGTTACAGAAACGCTCGGCACGACAGAGGGCACTGTGTTTGTTCTTTAAATGCAACCAAACTTCGTACAGCCCCTCCCGTTCGCTGCCTGTAGCGGCTTTGAACCGTTTTCTGAGGGCATTCTTGTCTGCCCGACACTTCAGAATGTCCCTCTGCCTTCTGCTAATATTCTGCTTGGCACCC